AACCAAAAATTTATTTTATAATATATAAGATATATCACATACAATGGGTATATTCTAAGGGGCAAGGTTGGTTTTTTAACTATATTATATACACCAAAGGGGTGCGACGGCCTGGTCCCCCACCACTAACGTGGTTCCACCTCTTCATTCAAGAAGTTCTGAGATTTTAAATTTACTTTTAATATAATATTCACTTTTATTTTTTAAAAACAATGCGATATCATTCCTAACGTTAATAAAAATTAATTTTAATCATTAATTAATCATAAAATTATAAAAAACTTAAAAATTACAAAAAACCTAAAAAGTTACAAATAAGTACCCTTATAAACTTAGTCAATTAATACTCCTTTTTTATAGGGGTAATTTTTTGTAATTTTTTTTTGGTTCTTCTGTAATTTTTAAAGATATTTTCTGTAATTTTTTAGTCAATTAATGGCAAAGTTAACATTTACTAATAATAAGGGGCAGCATTATACTATTTTTAAAAGTTTAAGGAAAATATTAATTGTCTAAAAAATGAGTTTAGAATCCCTCAACACTCTTGAACCTATAATCTAAGAATCAAATTACCCTTTAACCCATGTTTAAATTATTTTTAGTTTTTAATTTGTTCATTAGGGTCAAAATAAATTTCATCATTCAAAGAATAACGCTTATATAATTGAAAGTTATACGCCAATATGTGATTTTCACATGTTGAGATCAACTTGAACCATACATTTTTTAGGACACACACACATATATATATTGCATTAATATGGACTATATATAATATACGTACCTTTTTTTTTAAAAAAAAGGAGTGATTAAATAGGTATGAATAGATGTGAGCATGTGAGAGAGATGAGGATGAGGAATGGATCCGGAAATGTCATTTCAATGTTGAAGAGAACATTATGAAGCAAATGAAGACGAAGAGAAACTCCAGAAGGTTTTGGACAGCGATGACATGAACACAAGAAAGTCATGGTTTTGTTAATTGATGTGGTCACTTCTTTATAAACTCTCTTGAAAACACAATATGTACTTTTTAAGTACTAACCTTTATTTTTTCTTAGATTGGTCAAGACATGATAAATCAAGTTTAACGGTTCAGAATTTATAGAGTAAGGAAAGAATTCAGTTGATGAAGTCCATAAAATTTAATTTGGGAATAAAGCAACCTTTAGTCATTTATGTTTAGGAGTTCTATTAATTTGGTCCCTTAGGGCCTGTTTGATTTTTTTCTCATTTTTTATTTTAAACAATTATTTTGTAATACAATTTTTAAAATTATTTTTCAAAACAAAAAAAATAAAAATCTATTTGGTTATGTCAATTAAAAAATAATTTAAAAGTTAAAAAATAAATTGATAGTGATAGTTATAGATAATGAATGGTAACGATTAATAATAAAAATTGATCAAAGTAACTATAATTTTTTATAATCAAATTTAGTGTATTTTAAAAATAAAAAATAAAATAAAATAACTTGAAGTTGTTTCTACTTTTTTGTTTTTTAAAAATTTTAAAAACAATTAAATAAAAAACATTTATCCAAACAAGTTTTTATTTTGTTGTTTTTTAAATTAAAAATAAAAAAATTGGCCCTTAATTTTTATTATTTCAATCTTTAATGTTTACTTTAGCTATTGAGTTATTCTCAAAGTTTTGTAAAAAGAAAATAGTTCAAAAAAAAGGTTGAAGTGAAAATTAGACTGACAATGTAGAATATACATGTGAATTAAATAAAACATATTAGATAAATCTAGGAGAGAGGGCCTCTCCACTTTCTTTCCATCCATTTTTCTCCATTTCTCAATCATCATCATTTATTTAATTTATAATTAAATAAATTTATTTAATAAAATAAAATTAATGGTGATAATTAAAAAATGAAGAGAGGAAAGGAAAAAGAAGCAGAGTGACTTATCTCATGTAAATTGAACCTTATGTATACAGAAAATTTTCACTGAAAAACTCACCTACCAAAGTCAGGTACATAACTTGCGTCAGATCCTGATATAGTTGGGGCAAAGCTCTAGTGAACAACCAAAACAATGATGATGACGATGATGATGATGATGATAAAAGATAAAATAATAAATAACAGATAAAATAATAAAAAAATTAAACGAAGAGATATAATAATAAAACGAAGGAAATGTTAGGGTCAAAATTTGACTGCTTAAGTGCCTTAAGGGCCCACGTGTCGAGAGCACGCGAGTCCTTAGTGGGTCCCACGTTGACTCTTCTTAGCGCGTTACTTTCAACGCGTGAGAAACGGACTGAAGCTTTTAGATCGCTCCCTCCCACGAAGCTCCGAACTTATAAACCACTTTTCAAACTTTAAATCATGGATTAAAAAAATTAGGTTGCAATATTGACAGAATTTTTACATTATATAGTATATAATATGGATACTTTTAAATAAATTCCATAAAAATTGTGATAATCTAGAATTAGTATTACATTTCTCAATAATTTAATTTTGTTTTTAGGTTGTAATGGTAATTTTAAAATAAATGTAATTTTGAAGTAAAGTATAATGTTCATTATAAAATAATTATAATTTTTCAAATAATGAATGGATTTTGATAAAATTATATTAATTATTGAAAAAATTAGCTCAATGGCCTTAAAAAATATAACTCTCATAAATTGTGAATGAGGTTTTTAAATATGGCCAATTCATAAAATCAATTAGATGTGTTTTCCTTTAGTAACCTCAAAATAAATTTAGGATTAAAATATAATATATTTAATTTAACTAATCTTTAGCTGATTGAATTTTTTTTATTTTTATCAAAAAAATTATATTGTGCATGCTCCATCTCTGATTTATTATCTATGAATATTCTTTTCATTAGATTTTTAGATTTGATTTTCTTAGATCATTATATTCATCTCTTATACAGTGCTTTTCTTCATCAAAATTTTTGATCTAATTTTCCTAGATTACCATTTTCATCGTAGAGCTTTTCCTCTCTTTCCCTCTCTATTCTGCCCAGATATTACGAAGAGGACATTAGACATTGAAAAAGAAACTCCATTACTAATTTGTGATATTATATCATTGATATATGGCTGTATATAAATGATAAATAAATTGATAAGTTTTCACTGATATAGCTTATATATTAGTGATATATAATAGTATATCATTGATATACTATCGTAAATCAATATAACCAGACAATCAAACATAAACTTATTTATAATTGATATACAGTCGTATATCAATTATGTAGTATCGTAAATCAGTAACACAAAAAACACATAATCATTTTCTCAAAAGAAATCAAACAGAATCTCAAGAAACCCTTGCTTGAACTCTGGCTTTTGTAATAAGGTCTGATTAGACTTCTTCACCCTGGATCTGCAGCTTTAGTGTGGCTTTATGTAGAAGCTGCAGTTTCAGACTTCCTCACCTTGCATTTGTGATTTTTCAACCTGAATCTGTAGCTTCCAGTCTACCTCACCTTACATTCTTGTGGTCTTCTAGCTGAATCTCTAACTCCATTTATCCATTAATGTGAGCTATTTTGTTGTCTACTGTCAATTTCTTCATCGTCATGACCAAGAGTACAGTATCGTCTCCACATCTTTGAGTAGGCGAAAGTGAAACCAGTGTAAAAAAGAGGAATCAAGGTATTATAATATTTAAAGATAGTTTTGTCTTTTGTATCAAAGGTAAATTAGAAAATGGCCATTATCTTAATTTAATAAAAGGTGGGTTATTAGTTTTATTTAGTCATATAATGTTGGCTAAATTTGCTAAAGGCCCTTAATTATTTTAGTTTACATTGATATTTTATGTTAAATTGAGGAACACAAGACTCTTGGGAACTCTCTATTTTTTTTAATTTCTCACATATTTTCTTATTGGAGGTAATCATATTCAAGATTTGATCAAGAACTAAATATAGGCCCATCTTTCAACAAAAATTTAAACCTTGGTATCATGTTATGAAGAGCTAACCCCTTTCACTAAATCCAACCCTCATTAGTAAGGCTCTTCCAACCCTACCATATTAAATTGTTATATTTTTTAGCAACAAATTGTTATATACTCCCTCCGTTAAAAAATATAAAGTATTTTTAACTAAATTTAATCCCTAATAAAGTAATTACTTGTTTTTAAACTAACTCCATCTTTTCATGCTTACCATTATTTAATAGAGTATTTTATCCTAAAATAAATATAAAAGTGATGTATTTAATAAGAGCACTTAAAAAAAACAAGAAGTAATGGAGGGAGTATTAAAAATATCTTACATTTTAAAATATCTAACCTCTCAAAAAATGCCTTATATTTTTTTAACATAAGGAGTATTATTTTTCACATAAAAATTAGTATCTTATTGCTTTTTGTATACTTGGAATATATTATTTTTATTCATATTTTAGTATATAAATATTTTCACATAAAAATTATTATTTAACTTAGTTATAAACTAAAATGAATTATATGAATCTTTACTTGGGAGTCCTTTACCCTTTTGTTTGGATTGGATTTGAAGCACTAGTAGGGGTGAGCATCGGTCGGTTCGGTTCGGTTCGGTCTCAAAATATACAGAACCGATCGATCGAATAACACTAAAAATGAAAACCGAATCGAACCGAATAAACCAATCAAACCGAACAAGGACCGAACCGAAATTTGATAATTCGGTTCGGTCGGTTAATTCGGTTTTTTGGTTTCATATTGGGCTACTTGAAATTGGGCCCATTTTTTTTAAATATTAAAAAACAACACTATAAAATTGGGCTTTTTTTTATTCGTTTTTTTCAATGAGCCCATTTTAACATGTGCTTGCTAACAGAATTTTTAATCTAGCCAAGTGCCATATAAAGAATCCTTCCTCAGGCTCACATCACCGTTTGGTCCAAAAAAAGTTGACAAAAAAAAAACGAATAAGAAAGAAACCAAAAAAAAAAGCTCGCATCACTGTTCAATTCCACATGAGGAATTCCTATCAGCCAAGTGCCATATAATATTGATAAAGAGAAGAAGATAACTTCAAATATTAAAATTAAACAACCACAGTACTATATAATCCAGTTATAGAAACCAACAAGTCTTTAAAATATTAAAATTAAACCATTACAATAATCAAATATCCAAATTAGTAAAACAAAATAAAATGAGCAACCTTCATAAATGGAGTACCATAGCACTAGCATCTTGCAACCTACATTACACAAGTAAAAATCGTATAAGAAGCCAAGAAATCCTGCCCATCAGCTGAAAGTCTAAAATCAAGAAGTTATCAATATCAAGTAGAGAGTATGAGCATTCAATTGCAATAATTTGCCTAATGTAGAGACAAATCATAAGCAAAATCTAGATTAAATATGCTTATAACTTGTTAAAGGAACAAGATTATAGTTCTTACAATTCATTAATTTTGGTGTCATATTGACGAGCATCAAATTGTGATTCCTCAGCCTCAGGTGCTGTTGCTGCCATGACTGGAAGATGCAAAGAATTATTTACAGATCATCATGAAAAGAACTGGACGACAAAGCTTACATAACTACCAAATAATAAACATAATAGTATAGCAATTAAAAAGCTATATACAGCCACAGTGCCTCAAGCTATAACAATTAAAACATAACAGTATATTAAAATTAAACAGCCACAGTGCCTCAAGTCATTAAATTTAAAAATTAAAAAGCTAACATATAAATAATTACCTCAAGTCATTAAGAACAAAGGCTCATAGTACATCCACATTCGCTTCTATAGCAATTTTTTGAAGATCTAAACATAAATAAAGTATTTAATATTAATATCATTTAACTAATAACTCAACATTAAATTTAAAACAATATAACACATAATAAATCACCTCTCTCAATCTTTTGTGCGTCATCTATCTTCTCTTCTACTAGAACCGGAAGTGAGTGGCGAAGCCAGTCTTGACCACAAACAAGAGATTGCACAACTTTAGGAGTTAAAGAGCTCCTAAATGAATCTAGCACACGTCCTCCAGTGCTGAAAGTAGACTCAGAAGCAACAGTAGAAATTGGGACAGCCAAAACATCCCTTGCCAATTGAGAGAGAATGGGAAATCTAGGCTCATTCAACTTCCACCAACTTAAAATATTAAAATCATCCTTATCCATCTCAATTTCTTCAGCCAAATACTTGTCAACTTCTGTCCTACTAGTTTCCCACCAAGCCTTTCACTCATGAATTTTTTCTTTTCATATTCAAGAATTTTTTTAACTTTCACAGCTGGGTCATCATCTTCATCAGATTCGTAGCAATTAAATGATTGCTCCTTTTCAACTTGCTTTGAAGGAGAGACATGCTCTTTGTATTCATTATACAAAGAAATGAGCAAATCATTCAATTGCCCTCCAACTTGCTTTCCAACCTCACTAGAATACATCTTATCAAGTGAATATTGCACCCACTCAAGCTTATACCGAGGATCAAGAATAGCAGCCACAAACATCAATTTATTGATTTTTGAAGGATCTCCCCAATACTTATCAAATTTTTCTTTCATTTTATAAGCCATTGAAGAAAACTCCAAATCATCACATTTTCTCCACTCATCCAAAAGGCGGAATAACATATAAATCTCATGAAAAAATTCATTAGATGTGACAAGTGAAGAACTAGAAACACGCAAAGTCAACTCATAGAAATGACTTAGAAACATTGTCATCTTTCTTACATTTGCCCAATCTTCAACATTAGGCACTCCCTCCCCACTTTCAAGATCAATCCTAAAATAAGGGTCCTTATCCTCAAACCTCCTAAAGGCAGCCTCAAACTTTTGAGCTGTCTCCAACATCAAATAGGTAGAGTTCCACCTAGTAGAGACATCTAAAGACAACAATTGCTTACTTGGGATTTTCTCATCTTCACAACTCTCCTTGAATTTTTTCATCCTAAGTGGAGATTGCCTCACAAAATGAATAGCCCCCCTTACTTTCTTTATAGAAGTTCCTATTTCTTTCAACCCATCAACCACAATCAAATTAATAATGTGAGCAACACATCTCATATGTAAAAACCAACAGCTCATAACAGAATGGCCCCAATTATTAATTTTTTCTCTCAAGTAAGACACAACAACATCATTAGTAGAGGCATTATCTACAGTAATAGTAAACACTCTTTCAATCCCCCATTCAAGCAAACATTTCTCTATTTCCATTCCAATATCCCTCCCCTTGTGACTAGATATTGGAACAAAATTTAAAATCCTTTTAACCAAATTCCAATCAGCATCAATGAAATGGGCTGTAATACACATATAGTTGATTCTTTGAATTGAAGTCCAAGTGTCAGTAGTGAGGCAAATCATTTGTTTACTATTGATCAAATAATCCTTGAATTTGATTTTTTCATCAACATAAAGTTGAAAACAATCACGAGCAACAGTCCATCTAGAAGGAATCTTAAATTTTGGTTGAGCATGAGACATAAACCTCTTAAATCCTATCCCCTCAACAAATTTAAATGGCAATTCATCAGTCACAACTATAGCAGCCAAACTTTTCCTAATAGCATCTTGATCAAATTTCCAAGTAGCAAGAACAATAGCATCATCTTCTATACCAAAATTTAAATGTGTTTGCCTAGGCTCTTCTACTTCAGGTCGTTTCTTGCATATTGTCATATGGTTCTTTAGTGCAGTAGTACCATTTCTTTTAGGATCACTAAAAAATTCTTTTTCACAGTAGTTGCACTTACCTTTGGTCTCCCCATGCTCATTCACATATCTAGTGAAATGATCCCAGACCTCAGATCTTGGCCTCATGGCTTTCCTCTTCATCCTTTGCAAGGAACTCATTACTTCAGTTCCACTTGATGCTACTGGGGCTTTGTTTTCTTCATTAACTTCAGTTTGGTTTGTAGCCATAGCTTCAGCTTGAGAAGACATCTGTGACAATGCATAGCAATCAAAAAAAATAAATACAAAGTAGAGACAGAGCAACTCAGCAAAGAACGCGAAAGCAGTCAATTAAATTCCCAATAACATTTTCCTTTGTTGCATTTTGGCTTGAAAGGAACACATTACATAAACAAAAAAGAGCAAAGAAGTAGGGACATAGACGGAAGATAAACCAAAGAAAACTCATTGTCAAGCTACAGTGAACTTCACAGCTAATGACGACATGAATCTCAACAATGCATAATCAAGCATAAAGTTCATAGTGTGGACTCACAGAGGAAGCAATTAGAACTCTTATGAAACAACTAGATCTTGGGCATGGTAGATCAAGACAACAAGAACCGACCAAATCAAAGGGAGAGAGAGGAAGAGCTGCATTTCGAGGGAAGAAGCAAAAAACCTGTTAAAATGCTTTACGCAGATCGTCCTTCAAGCTTAAGGTTCTGTGTTTCACAGATCTAAGCAACCTCTCGCCTTCAGACAGTGTCTCCGTGAGTTTAGTGACAGCAAGGGCAAGAGAGAGAGAGACTGAGATGCCAGAACAGAGATAGGAAATCTGAGCTGCGAATAATCAGCCTGAGATGTAAGAGATGCGAACGGCAAGATGCGAGAGATGCGAACGACGACGGCTTGAGGGAGACGACTTGCGATCTGAGAGTTGAGAGTCTGAGAGGCTAAGACAGAGCGATCGAGTGAGGCTATGAATCTGTGGTGACCTGAGCCGCGAGAGAGATGGCTGATGAGTGATGAGAGAGAGCGACCGGTGAGGCTATGTGACGGCGAGAGAGATGACTTGCGAGTTGCGATCTGAGAGATGAGAGTCTGAGAGCCGAGAGGAAACTTGAGATGAGACAGGGTCAGGGTGAGTGAGGCTGCGGTCTGCGTCTGTCCGGACTGAGGCAGTGAGGCGGGATATGACTCTATGGGTTAGGGTTTTTTTCAACTTTCATATTTTTATTTCAATATAAATTAAAATAATAAAATAAAATAATTTATAAATTAATAAGTAATACATAATTCGGTCGGTTCGGTCTATTCGATTTTAAATTTTATTAACCGAACCGAACCGATCAACCAAAATATTTTTAAACAAAAAACTGAATCGAACCGAAAAATCAAATAGACCGAATCAAATAATAAAAATTCGATTCGATCCGATTCGGTTCTCGGTTTCGGTTCGGTTTTGCTCACCCCTAAGCACTAGGCCTAAAAGAAGAATTGACCAAAGCCTAACTCAGTCTGACAGAATGCAAGCCCATTAGATAGCCAACCTTGTCAAAACTAATTGGAACACTGCATTTAGGGAGCTCACTGCCCATTCTCACCACTCTTCCCACTATGTGAAGGTTACAGTGCACTCACCCTTGTCTCTCCACACAATGAGGCAATCCCTCTGCGATTTTATAGCATGGATAATTATCTACTCCCTTTGGCTCCAAAATTCAAGTTTAAAGGAGTGTATCGTTGTCATTTTTTTATAAATAAGTAATGAGTGCGTAACTAAAGGTCTCACAAGAATTTGTACAATCAACCCAATCTAATCAACTTGTTGAGTGCAATACTCAAAATTCTAACCCAACATCACCCTAAGATTGCCTAGCGCAACTCTCTGATCTGTCAATTTAGTTGAGGCTCCCCTAGGCTATTTTTTACTTGATCTTCTCCTTTGTCTAACGCAACACCCATTGTACTTACATACTAGTAATGCAAATTGAATCCATGTGCTATATATTCAGCATATCCTTAGTTTTTCACTCTACTCTAGCAGTTCAAAGAAATTATGGTAAAGGACCTTGGAAACCCATGCATTCATTTAATATTACTCTTCATCTTGAGGATCTAACCCCTTTAGCATGGTTGAAAAACCCTTAAAGGGTGCTCTAAACTCAAATTCTGAAACCAAGTCAAAACCTTCCCTAGCTACTTCCCTATGTATATATGGATATGAGTATATATACATGTAAGATGATATAGGAGTACCATATGTAAGATAAAATAATTTTAAAAAATTTAGTATAGGAGTAAGTGACACCCACACACACATTTAATTTTTTTTATGTAAAATAAATAAATAAATTCATTAAAAATATATGAGTATTAGATATTCAAAAATTAAATTATAGATTATTAAAACAAACTACATGTATGAGTAAAATGTTTATGAAAAACTGCACATAAAATATTTGTTCTTTCTATTTAACACAAAAATATTTTGGACAAAAATAGTGTTGCAAAAATATCATATCATTTCTCTCTCTCTCTTTCTCTCCCTCACATAGAGTGATGAACAAATCTATCATGAATTAACAAAATCCACCACTAATTTTGGATTTAGTGATGGATCATCCATAAATAATTTCTATCACAAATATGATATCACTAAAATCTGTCACTAATTTAATGACGAAAACTATCTATCATTAATTAATAAATTTCTATCACTAATTTATTTTATAGTTAAAAATTTTTACATGTCTAATCACTTCCATGTTACCACACAAGTACATACCCCCCACCACTTCATCGTCACTTAGACCTCCATGCCATGTCATGGCCCTACGAACAATTCATTTTAATTCTTTTTAAATGTGATGTTGACTCATCTCAAACTCAAGAATTCTCTTTTCATAATTCTTTTTAAATGTGATGCCTTTTGCCAGTTGATCGGTGATGACTTTTTTATTCTTAATATGGAAAATTATATATATATATATATATATAGATTAATAGAACAAGTATATTTAACTTAATATATTTTTTATATATTTAATATATTATTATTTAAATATGTTGATAATATATATTATCATATACACACATTGACACATATAAATATATAATTCAATATTTATTATTATTTAATAAATATATTATTTAATATTAGTTAATATATGTTACGAAAATAAATATTTGTGTATATTGTTTTATATTATCAATGTTGTAATTAAAATATTTTCATATGATAAAAATTTTATTTTATATTTAAATTTACATAGTAAAAGAAAACAACATTTTTTATTTTTCTATATCATTTTCTATTATATATTTTACTTATAATAAGAGAAAAAAATTTTCTGTGTAATTATTTAATTCAGTAATTTTAAGATTTTTTTTCTGTGAGTCTCTCTGTGTATATTAGAAATTTTTCATATTATAAATAAGCTAATTTATAATTTTTTAATTTAAAATATTTGTCACTAATATAAAAATTTAATGGCAAAAATTAGTGACAGATTTAAATTGGTCACTAAATTTATAAAAGTTGATCAAAATGTGATGACATCCTATATTTATCACTAATCCATCACTAATTTATATAATTAGTGATATATTTCAGTCTGTCACAAAATTTTCATGACTAATGTCTATAATTAGTGAAGGATTGAAGATCTATCACTAAATGATCATCCCTAATTTTAATTTTTTCAATATTGAACTGATACAACTCCCTCAATTAGGCAACCAAGCGCTTCTCAGCTATATACATTAACTAGTTTATTATAAAAAAGCCAAATACATTTCAATTTACATTGATTGGGTTGTTGGCAATGTGGACTTTTTGGAAATACCAATTCGTGATAAGAGAAATACAATTAAAAGTTGTGCATGATTACAACGAATAACAAAAGTTACTAAAATTTGAGTCAACAACAAAATTCCAAGTTTCTTATTATTACTTGCACCATGGGGAGATGGCTGTGACTAATATTAGTTTATTCATCAATTATATAAAAATTAAATAAGTTGATGGTTAATTTCAAAGTAAACTCCACCATTTTTTTTATAATCAAATATGTCAAGTTTTTCTATAAAGGGTCAATTTCTTCGAAATTTCAAAGACGACACTCAAACTTGCATCTAGCCTAACTTGGTTTATTGGATCCAAGTCAACTCGCTTTTTTTTTTTCTTTTTGGCCCTTTTCTTTATGTCTTTGTCAGTTATATTTATAATTTTGAAGTCTTTTTTGTTTGATTATGCATGAATCTAATTGTATTTGACTAAGCAATAGTAAGTATGTGAAGGAAATCACTGCAAACAATGGACAAAAAACATTATTATATAAATCCTCCATAAATTGCTCCTTTAATTTTTTTTTAATTGTGAGTAGGCGTTATCTTATTAGAGACAATCCTATTTAAAATATAGTCGGGTATTAAATATGAACACTTCTTTTAATGAGATGGAATTATAATCTTGGTTTGTCATGTGAGGAATTAACTCTTTCCACTAGGCCCAACCTTCTCAATAACATGGATTTGATATTATATATTGCTCTATTGTATTAGAAAAAAATACAATATAGTTGCGGTGTGTGTATGTATTTTGTTGACTTGCACTCATTTTTCAACTAAATTTTTTGTATTTAATTAAGAACTCTGGATAGTTTGAAATACACATGTTAACAATAGAAAAAACACACATAAGGATATGTAGAGTAGAACCCTCTTAGTTTTGATAACCATTGTGAGTTTGTAATTACTTATAATTTTAATTTACTATTAATTAGTATTATGATATAATTGTCTTTTTTTTTGGGTTTACGAAGGGGTAAAAATAGAACAATGGAACTGCCTCATTTTTTTTCTTCTCCAACTACTTGATATCAAAAGCTTCATCAGATTCTTCACTATACATACATATATATATATATATATATATATATATATATCACCACTATATAACAATATGTATATTTCTTAAATATATATATATTTTTTGGCTTGAATATTTCTTAAATATTTCTAAAAGAAGTATTGTTATTTTATGTCAAGTTATTCACGAATATTTGTTTATATTAGTTGAACAAAGCCATCATTTAGGGCAAAAAACAAATCCATATTTACCTTATTAGGTGATTGACTTCTTAAGGATACGACCAAATTGTTTAGCACATAGTTATGTCAAGATTTTAGACCTTCGTCAAAACGATGACATCTTCTATATCACAGTTTAATTTGATAAAGATTGAACAAATTAAGTTTAAAATTGCTTGCTAGATATTAGGGTTGACATTTTGAAGAATTTGATTAGGTAAATAGGGTTGGTTTTCATTCTTTTCCCTTAAAAGTATCCTATTATAATTAATTAATTTGGATTTGACTTCTGATGATTGCTCTCACATAGGCCAACTTTTGAAGACCAGAAAAACATGCAATAATTTTTTTCCCTTAAGATTTAAAACTCTCTTGAAAAAAATTAATTTGATATGAAATAATTTATATACACTATAGTTTTGAGTGAGTTGTGTGTATAATTAATTAAGTTGACTCAAAAGTGATGATTCAAACATTTATATTTAACAATATACTAAAGAATTCAAACTAATCTAACAAATTAAGAATCCTTAATTATATATGAGAAAATTATACCAAAGTCCCACAAAAGAGAATTTATTACCAAGAAGTTTTATAAAATTTATAAAATACTCTCAAGTCTTAAATTCTGTGCATTTTTTTACAAATTGTACATGCCCATGATTTAAGATTTAAAAGTATTTTATGAATTTTATATAATATTTTAATAATAATTTTTTTTTGTGAAACCTAAATATAATTTTCTCGTTATGTATGTAAGAAAATTAAAAGGATAATAAGGCCTTTGACCAGAGGCTGACATGAAATCTAATCTCGTTCCTTGCTACAGTTGTGTTAGGTCAACAATTGGTTGGCGTTTTAGCTTCTCTGACCTGCGTGCTTAGCACGCGCCTCTATCCTGCGCTTTGCCCACCCAATAATATATATACATATAGCCTTTGGAAAATTTGATTTCTTTTTTTTTTTTTTGCCAGAAGGAAAAATTGATACTACTATGCTTCATGACCGCTCAGTATATATATAATATTACACGCACATATACATATACATACGTATACCTGTGTGTGATAGAAATATGAATATAATGATCAATTTGTGGACCACTTGAATGGACCTTTCATCTTTAGCAAAGGGTAAGTTCTTTTGCACTATAACAATTCTCGGCCAAGAAATTAATTGATTATCTGAGGAGTTGTATAAATTTCTATTCACACGCGCTTAAGTAGAAACGATTGAAGCATTGTTATTCTCTCTAAGAAATGAGAGATACTAACAACTCATTTTATTCGAATAATTCCTGGGTGAGTTAGTTCAACTCTATTATTTAAATATTTACAAACTTTACTCTTGCATTTATCAACATAATTTCATGAAAATTTGCGGGATGATTTAGTGTTATTAGACTTGATAATTACACTGTTTTTTTCTTCACAATTAAATACCCCAGTAAAAAAAAAATTATTCATAGCCAACAAAAGTCGTGTATTTAATTTTTTTTGTCAATGTGAGGACCTTTTTTTTTATTGTTCAGAAGTGTCATCTTATTAGAAATAATTATGTTTAAGGCATATTAGGCACTAAATGTAGGCACTTGATCTCCCAATGCAGATTGAGTCTTGGTTTCTTATATTGTGAGGGACTCACCTTTTCAGCTAGACTAACCCTCATTGGTATGAGGATTTGTTAATAGGAGATATATAATTAAATATTTTTGTAAGCACTCTTGAACCCCAAAGCATGTTTAACCCTAGTGAAGAATCAAGATTCAACTCCTCTAAATTTTTTTCTATAAAAAAGAAAACCTCCAATTACACAAAAAGACTCATAGTTGTTCATAACTATACAGCTTTTTGGTATATTACGTGATGAATCATATTATTTGTTACTTGCAAACAACAACTTAGTATAGTATTTGATACTGTCTGGGTGTATACATATTGATTCAGAGGAAATTTAATAGCTAGGGGATTTCAACTTAATTTGAGGGGCTTGATTCTTTTATTTATTTTGGGTTCGGATTCTCTTCATTTAAAACAGATAAAAAAAATAATGTTAAATAGATTTTTTAATGATCCAATTTAATTATTCAATTGAAGATAAAAATAAAATTGTTTTTAACATATTCATAATATTTAAAAACTGAGTAATTAGGATTTATATATATATATATATATTATAAATACACCCACACAAATAAAGCTAACGAGCATATGTTATACGGCTTATATCAGCATATATATACTACATGGAACCATAATCTAGTTGATTGGTTTAAAATAGCTGTAATTTTTCTGGCTGAAAAAAGAAGAGAATTATTTTTTTTTCAGAATAGTTTTGTAGCTTTTATTATTTGTTCCCTCTTTTGTATTAAAATTTTTTAAAAAAATCATCGGCTAATTTTAATACATACTTGATTGCCTAAATATATATGAAACCCCACCAGGCCACTATCACCATCATCCTCATCTAACATCATCATACCCCTCCTCCATTCCTTTATACATAAGGAACACAAATTTTCCATAAGACATGGATAATAATTCTTTCAATCTTATTATATATATAATTTCTCAATAGCAAGACAAATTGCTAGGAAAAAAAAAGTTAATTAAAAATAAAATAAGAAAATAGAGAGAGATTTTTTTTTTGACCAAAAAAATAGAGAGAGAATTAGAATTGGATTCAAAACTCTCTCTCTCTCTCTCTCTCATATTTGTCCAATCATCTCCCCTGTAATGTCAATCGGATTCTGGTAATCCCCTCTATCGTCCGTACCCTTTGAACCGTTTCACATATATAAAATCTCTCTCTCAACACAGAAACTCGTTTATATATATAAGCACTCAAACACCCCCCCCAAGCCAGGATCAAATCTCAGAAGATTAATAGAGAGTTCTAATATATATATCGGAGATGGGTGAGGAGTTTCAAGCTGGGATTTGTGGTGGGAATAATTACTGGTGGATGAACAACAACATGATGATGATGAACCCAACAACAACACAAAGTGTTTTCCCTTTGACGATGATGAGTTCATCTCCGTGTTCTGTACTTACAGGTAACAACGATCTTTCAGGAGGAGGGATGATCGGCTACAGCACATGGCAGACTGATACGGTGGACCTGATCAAGGCTCCGACGAGGACGACGACGACAGAGACGGCCACGGCGACCGTGGCGAACTCTGGTTCTGATATCTCTCCGGGGTTTCTAGATGCGACGACGACGACGAAGCCACAGCTTCATCAGAATCATCATCATCATCATCAGACTGGTGAAGCTGATATTGCAGACAATCATCATCATAATGGTTCCATCTTGATGGATTCGACCTTCGAAATGATGGGTTTTGGTCTCTCTTCGAATTGGAATCATTCTCTCTTGTAAGTTTTTGTTCTTCATGCGTCTCTGGTCTGGTCTCAAGCTTTAAAAAGTTTCATTTATTTCCCCACTAGCTACTTTTTCTCTTATCAGATCAGTTCGTGTCCATGTATTTAGATCCTTTCTTCTATCTTCTGACTATTATTTTCTTTTTCTTTATTTGAATTTTCAGTGGTAATTCTTCATCACATGCCCAAGATCAGAAGAGAGATCAAATCTCCATGAAGAATCAAGATTTATGTGGTGGTGGTAATTTCTCAGTTGGGTCTGTGCCAGTTTCTCCCTCGTCGTCACCATTTGGATGCCTTTCTAATAATAATAATAATTCCTCAAGTTCGACGTTGATTCGGAGTCTTTATGATATTCCTCATCATCAACCACAAGTAGCACAGCCACTTTTCACCAACCCAATACCACCATCTTCCATGGCCTATTCTTCAAGTACAGCGAATATTGGCTCAATATCTAATTCCACTGAGTTGATCCCTTCACCAACAACTACAAATACTACCACTTCTTCGTCTTCGTCTTCGTCTTCTTCTTCATGGCCCAGACCCTCTAATAATAATAATAATAATAATTCCTTCTTGAAGCCTACTGGTGGCTTGCACTTTTCTAACAGTACTGCTTTCTGGAATGCTGCTGCTGAAACACCACATGTTTTTGCTCCTTCTTTAATAACTGAGAAACCCAATTTCACAAACTCTCTCATACCCAAGGTATACAACTCTCTCTCATAATCACATGTCTGAAAATGTCTTTGATATTCTTACAATGATTTTTCTTCAAATTCATAGCTTCCTGACTGGTTGAAGTGTGCAGCCCAAGAGAGAAGAAGCTTTGGACTCATCCGGGAAGAACTCGTGTGAACCTGCAATCAAGAAGCAAAGAATTGAAACGCCTTCACCATTACCCACTTTTAAGGTATATTATTGTAAAAAGTTAAAGGGTTATCTCATGAATAAACACATAGCTTAGGGTCCCAAGTCCCATATCAAGGAGCCTAATAAGTACAGTGAGATTTGTAAGTATAAAGGGTTCTCCCACCTAATATTCTAATTTTTTGAGATGAGTTCTTTAGACTAACTTGTCCAAACTCTAAATATATATGCGACAGTACTAAGAACTAATTAGGATAGTTTTGCAATCTTTGTGACCCTCCCTGGTTCAGTCGACTGAGATTAATCAGAGTCTAATGTGACTTTTAACAATTGGATATAGTTTGATTAAACAAAAATAAAAAATAAGTTAAAGGGTTTTAGGTGCGTAGTGTTAGTTGCTCGTATTAAAATATAATGAGGGTTTTAATTTGTTCAATGTTCATAATGTACATTATTGTGCATAGATTTTTAATCTAGTTAGGCGGGTTTGGATGATTAGGTTCGGAAAGAGAAGCTAGGGGACCGAGTCACTGCTCTTCAGCAATTGGTGTCGCCTTTCGGAAAGGTAAAATTTTTTTCTCCCCTGGAAGTGTCTCTCTTTATTTCACTTTTTTTACTACTTGTGGTATTGTGAAGAATGGAATTAAAAACCTTTACTTAAATGTTGAAAGAAACTTGAACATTAGATTGAAAAGAAACTAACCCGTACACTTTTTTTTTTTTGGTGTATTTTTATAGACTGATACAGCATCTGTTCTTCACGAAGCCATCGAGTACATCAAGTTCCTGCATGATCAAGTCAGTGTATGTTTCATTATTCTAATAATGATAATTATTTGTTATTTGTGATTCAAACCCTAATTATTGATAAAGCTACTCAAATAAATTATATATTCATAAACAAGTAATTATTTATTTATCTAACAAATTGAACTTTATTTAAATACCAAATCTCAGGTTTTGAGCACTCCTTACATGAAAAATGGAGTTCCCATCCAACACTTCCAACAGGTACTTCCAGCACTGTACTTTCTTATTATAACTTCTGAAAAGTTAAGATTTTCAGTGATAATTTTTGTCGGAGAGGTGAAATTTTCCTGGCTTCTTAAGTTCAAAATATACTTGAAAACATATTGAAGTGGTTAACTTAAAGTTTCCCAAAGATAATTATCATTTTTCATGTTAATTCATAGTAAACTAGCTAGACACGCATATATATAGTCCACCACACGTGTGTGCGTGTGTGTGTACATATACATTTTCTCATGCAATGTATACTGAGTCTGAAATATAATAGCCACATTATTCATTATTTTGCTCAGGCGCCTGTGACTAATATTATTGTTTGATATAAATTTTATTATATATAGTATTGACATATTGAATATTGACATGCGCTTTTGTCTTTGGGCAAAAATGATACATTGATGTAAGTGATTGAAGTCTCTTTAGTCCCTATCAAAAGTTGTATTCTTTGTACAGATATCAAATGAGAGTTTCTAAATCTGAATCTTCTGCATTTTATTATTGAATGCACAGTGTAACTCCACACACACACACACACACACCATATCAGAATGTCATGCACATGCACTTTCTTCTAAGGTGAACTCGATATTTGATACTGAACCATGTTTTCAATAGATTTTGTATTATTATATAAATTATGACAGGAAAAAATTAATTATTATTTACTTGTGATATTATTATTGTGTTGTAGGGTTGTGATGTGAAGGAATCATCAAAAGGGCCAAAACAAGACTTGAAAAGCAGAGGGCTGTGTTTGGTTCCGATTTCAAGCACATTCCCAGTCACAAACGAAACCCATGTGGATTTCTGGACGCCATCATTTGCAGGGACACTCATCAGTAGATAGATAATCTTATTTATACCAAAAAGAGGAAAATTTTATGAAGAAGTGACAGACTTAGACTTATTATTATTATTATTTTCATGATCCAGGTTGAGTATTTTCACTATTAAATTCCATTCATAATCATAGATTAAGTGGTTCAATAGTCCAAATACTCACCCTTAAATTAACTATTTATATCTATAGTCTGTCATCTTTTCATAAAATTACCCGTTAGGGGAAAAAAAAGAAAAAGAAAAAGAAAAGTGAATGCCAAACATGTAGAAGGAGACTGAAGAGAAAAAGCTGAAGAGAACAAAAGGAAAAGCAGAGAGAAAAAAGGAAAGAAAAGGAAGTGACCCTTCAAAACATGGACAGAAAATGCTGGGCCAGGTACAAGCATTTATCAGAATGATGTGGGGCTGCCAAATGATTAATTCGTGACCATATATTATATATATATATATATTATATGCAGCTTGCTCGTTAGGTGCTTTATGAATAACACAAAAAGGATTCATTAGCTACTACTAGTAATTTATTTAAGTGCAAAAGGGGCGGGAACAAGTGTTAAATTCAGCTTGATTTTTCTTTAGTGGTTAGATTATAATGTAGACAATTTGATATTTTTTGTTGTTGAAGTACTGTTTCGTTAGAGAGATTATATGTGTAATCCAATTAGCTGAATTTAGCAGATGGGGCTGATGCCTTTTGTTCATGTTTAATCAGCATTTTATATATTTCTTGGTGTGTGTATTTTTGTGCCATTAATTATTTGGATATAGTTTAATTTGGAATCGAACTTTTATTACCATGAAGGAAATCTAATTCCCAAAACAAAAAAAAGATGCGTGCGCGTGTTATATTCAATTTGAAGAGCATAATAATGTATGAAAAAAATTATATTAGAAAAAGAGCTACCTCTAGTTAAATCTAAAAATATCCAATAACTACATATAAAAAAATGCTGGGAAGTGAGTAAGTGGTGTTTAATTAATAATTTTATGGTTTAATTAAATTTTAATATTTCTTGGATTTGTTTATTTATGTTGGAAAATGGGTTAGTGGGAGTGGCTAGCTAGCTTTTGCTTTCTTCTTGACAAATAAAATGCTCATACGTGAGGCCACGCGTGGATGATTAACTTTACAACCTAGCACGTACGTATAGCAAAATTATTATTCATTTTGAAGCATTATAGATTGTTCATTATATGCTTTTTTGTCTAATGGCGACATTTTAGGGAATTTAATTTAATTTGTCCCCTAATTATAAATTCACTGGGATATTCCTTAATCATTGTCTTTTCCTTTCACTTCCATGTACTTGGGAATAATATTGGTCTCTACTCTAAACCATATGAATTCAACAGAATAAGATTGGGTCCATATCACGAACAATTATTGTTTTGTGTGTGTGTGTGTGTTTTTAGCATGAAATTAACATTTAACTGAAGTACAAATGGCATAAAAATTGTGTTGGCAAAAAAAAAAAAAAACGGCATCAAGATTGATTAGGATTCTGACAAGAACTTCGTTGTGCATTGTAACTCAATATATGCATGTATGCGCTCAAAACACGTTACCTAAATGTGTTAAAATTTGGAAGACCGATGCATGCATACCTATCATCTTATACCTAATCAATTTATCAAACTCATGACCAAGTGAAATTGGGTTTAGTAGACTGGACTAATTTGTTATAGTTATTGGGAGAGATACTCATATTTAATATCCCAATTATACCTTGAACATGAGGATATTTGTTAACAATAAAAAATATATATATCAAGCTTATAACAAGTCATAATATTTAAGTCTACAGTTTAACTCAACTCAGCAGAGAATTCAAACTATTATTCTATATATCTAATTTACATGTGAATCTTGTGTATCAATAATACGTTAATAAGTGTATGTATCGAGATAATGTATAGAGATATATTATTTTCCTGTTATATATTATTATTATTATTAAATATGGCCTGCTTCCTTTCAATATTTCCAATGAAAATTATTGCTATCTACACAATATTATTCCTGAAAAACTTTTATGATTATTTCGGCCGTCAGTTTCCAACATTGCATCTAAATTATTGTTATTACTTTGTTTTACAAAAGCAAATAATGTTAACTTTACGATATAACAATTTATGCCAGAGAACTTTAAGATTTACAATCCCAACTTTTTTTAGTTCATTAAAGAAAATAATGCTCTAATAGAAGTGTTGTACTAAATATACCTCATACCAAAAAAGAAGAGAAGTGCTATGCTATATCAAAATATTATATTCTTTTTCAAAAACGTGCATCACTTCTAGAACATCATTGATATATACATGAAAATTTCTATTTTTTTTTCTAAAGTAAAATTGCTTAAATATTTTTTGAGATTAACCAAGTGAGATGAGGCTTTGGTGTTGTTGTAGTATTATTGTTGTTGTTGTTGTTGTTTGAGATTGACTAAATTGCAATATATAATGAATTGATATAAGCATACTATCTATTGAGAATTTAGTTGATAATTTCTTGATTTATAAAACTATGAAATATATATAATTCCACAGTACATAATTTTTCTGGGAAAAAAGACGCAATTCCACAACTCTGAAAGGCTAAAAGAAACTAAATGAGAATTCATGACACGCCTCTATAATAATTTTGTCTAAAACCTCACAACTTTTACACGTGGCCCTACTATAGATCCTGATGAAATATAATTAATTCCGTACAAGTCAACTGCAGCAGTTGTTATTCCTGATTTATTGATTTGTGGTTACTTTTTATTTGGGAAAATATCACAGTTAGAAGAGATCAATTAAAAATTATTTCTTATCAAAACTTATCAATTTAAATTAGTCTTTTATTAATAAGTATCCATTCAAATTTTAACAACTTATTTTAAATTAACAATAGTTTATTTAAGCTTTTTTTCATTTTGATTTTAACAACAATTAATACTTGACTAATATAAATTTTTTCTAGCGGTCCTTCATCTCTATTTTCCCTTTTTATTTTCCTCTAAGCACATTGTGTAGTAAAAATTAAATGAAATAAGTGTAATCTTGTGTAAAACATAACAGATTTATTTTGTGTTAAATATTATACTACCAATTAATGGATATTTCCTCCATTCAAAAATATAAGGCATTTTTTGAGAAATTGGATGTTAAAAAATGTAAGGTATTTTTAGTCTTTTAGATGTAATTATTATCTTTTTTTTTAAAGTGTCCCTATTAAGGAATGACTTTATATTTCTTGTATAGTATTTAATAAGACTAAATATGAAAAGATATGATTAGTTTGAAAGTAGATAACTGTTTTATTGAGAGATAAAATTTAATTAAAGCCTTACATTTTTTAACGAAGGGAGTATATGATAAAGTAATATAAATATATATATACACATGTTTTTTTTTGGATACTACGGACTGTTACAGTTAATGATATTTTAAATTTACAGAATAAATCATATTATAATGAAGGTATCATTTTTTGACCTAGCTAGTTAATTATACTATTCCATTAGAAAGTTATTGGCATATTATATGAAAAAGAAAGAAAAAAGAAAGTTATTGGCGTAAAAGTTTGTGGATAAATTTTTTTACAAAATGAGATAATTAATAAATCTAGCTCTAATTTTCATGTTTTTCCAATATTCTAAGACGATATTTATCAGTCTAACCAGAATTTGAATATTATGGCAAAGTTGATTTGAAATTGTAGGGATATAAAAAGTAAAATTGAAAATGTTTCTTTGTGATCGGTAGGGATATGAAACTTCAATAATCAAAGATATGAATAGATTCAATATCTTTCCATGGAATAACTTGTTTAATGAGAAGGGCCATTTAATTTCTATTTGCTAAAATGAAATAAAATCCGAATAATTAAAATTTGCAAATATATAACAAGATATTAAAAACGAACACACGCATGCACACAAAAAGCATCATATTCACAAGCATAAGCACAAGGATAAACCCTTCTCTTTTTTTTTTTTTTTTGTGACAAGAACGCAGATAGATTTTAATTCAATCTCCTAATGGCACATAATATATATATATATAATCTAATTAGTTTGATAAAAATATAATATATGAGTATTTTATAATTAAACGGTGCATCTCATTCTTGACATAAAAAGATAAAACTTCTTTAGATGCTATAATTTATTTAAACGGAAGAATTTTGTAATAAACACAAGAAAGACTTTCGTGTAAGTTTTTGTCCTATATAACAAAGTTGGACCAATTGGAGGAGCTCTATTATGATCAATTGTTAAGCATCTCTATAGAATAAGCTTAAAGCTGAAGAATCGTTCCATGAGAAGTGACTAATCATGAAAAAGTAAACAACTTTATTAATTTAAAATCTTATTGTTGATAGGCGTATATATGTTGGCTCCCCTTTTAATTATATACAATCTATTTATGACTTTTAAGACAATGTGTATTATAACATATAGCTCCAAGCATCTCAGGCCCGTTAATTACCTACCCATAGCTCCTTTTCCATTGTCCATTTTCATCTATTGCTCAATGTGTCATATCATTCATTACACAAAGTAAAACGACAGTATTTTGAATAAGAGGTTATAGAATATGTCTTTATTTGCACGGGTTAAACATAAGGTATATTTGTTTATGACTTATGAACAATACTATTTTTTTTTTGGAAAAAATATAATTTTAGATTTCTACACTTTGCTCACATTTTATTATAGGTTCCATACTTTTTTATACTTTAGGTCCCTATACTTTTATTTTTTAGTATTCTAGATCTTTTCAAGGTCCTTATGCTTTATTTATTTGGAAACTTAAAACACTAAAAAATAAAATTGTAAGAACTCAGAACACTGAAAAAAATATAGGAACGTGTAGCAAAATGTAAGTATAGAGATTCAAAGTTATGTTTTTTCTATTTTCTTATAAATTTTATATTTTATATACATACATCCATACATACATATATATATATATATATATATAAGGTGGAATGACAATATGCTACAAGTGGTGACAAATTAGATGGTAGAGATCTTTCTGACAAAATTTGATAGAAAGCGCTCGTGGACTGTGCAAACAAATTTGTGTTGGCCATGGTGTGTGTCTGTGAGAATTTCAAATCTTAGTTATCTTTATAAAGGGCATGGTTTAATATATATATATATATATATATTATATCTTAAATTGGAACCAAGGGTGCTTAACTTAGCTATGGGGGCAGAGAGATTTTCAATCTAGATGGTGGCTACTAAAACCTAGTTTAGTTCACACTAGACATTGATAGTTCAGTCAATATGAACAAAGCAACAGCTTGTGGAGAACTCATTCATGATGAGAATGAAAATTAGATAAAGGGTTTCATCAATTTCCTTGAATACCATTCTAGCACGTACAACAACAAAACTCTCAAGTAACCATTTTGGAAGGACTCTACTGCTAGGAAGAGAAGTTATTTCAAGTCAATGTTCACCATGACTCCATCGAATTAACTCCCTCTTTCTACATGAACATGCCCAAAACCAACTACTTATTAGTTATATCAAGAAGATTGAGAATATCATCATGCGAGATTAGATCATTACTTTGGATCATGTTTTTATAGAGGCAAACCAATACAATAGCATATTTCCACATCAAGCAGTTCATGATAAATTTGATGTTAGCATTATTAGTGCTCCTCCCTTAGGGTGTAGGGATCTTATATATCTTTTATGACTTGACCTAGCTAATTTCAT